AAAATCTCTACAGTGCCGATTTCACAGTAATGAACGTCTGTCTTATTTCCCCGATCCAATCCTGACTGGTTTTAGCATCCTCATCTGGTATTTTTAAACGAAGTTGCTTCGACAGATGAAAGGGAAGAACTCCTTTAGAATTGTAAAGGAGGTATTTTTTGGCGCGTATGCTTGACACCATCTATATTGTCAATTAGACTACATAATTTTGTGTGTGTGTGTGTAAGTGTATGTGAGTCTAAATTTCACTTGTATTTGTTTACAGAGAGAATCACACTGAAATTTGTCAATCTTCATTCAGGGGTGTGGTATAATTTTGTATACAACTGCCGCCTTGAAAGAAAAACACGATTCTCCCACAGGAAAAACAACACAACTAAGGTATGATGAGAAACGCCCCCCTTCCACCCCGAAAAGAAAGGAATTGAAACCATAGTTATTATTGTCATTATAACTGTCAATTTGTGGGTACTCTCATGGGGCATATCCATTATAAAGCCCGAAAGAAAAACCTAGTAATAGTGATAACAAACCATTTGTTTATATTCATCCATTCTGGAGAGTCATTAAAAAGGGGATGACATTTCTTCTCTCTCTCTCGTGGATTCCACAGCTATAAGCTAAGCCACAATCGACCAAAATAAAGGTAATGATAACAATATAGGAATATACATATATATTACAGTTAGTTTGTATTTTCCCCTTGCGACTGAATTTTACATTGGAGCGAAATACCTGTCATATGTCGACTTTGTGGGCTACTGATACGGATACTTCAACGATGATTATTATATTATTTTTATGGTGGGATATAGGGCTTCAACAGCATGTCTCCAGTTTGTTCTATCCCCTGAGGTCCTCTTTAGTTAACCCCACGATTGACAGTAATCTCTCATCTCCTACATGTCACCCGTGGACCACAGCCCAACTCGCCATTTCCCATTCGTGTTCCACTCGAGTGATGGCCTGTACTGCACGCGATTTCATTCGACAGTCTCCTCAGTGGCGTGTGTTCAATTCATCTTCATTCTCTTCTAAAAATCTGTTGACCAGTCGATTCTAAATTGGTTTGTTCCCAGAGTTTCTTGTTACTAATTCTTCCTGACCAACCGGCCATTTGATCCTCAATTTGGAGCCAGCCAGCTAGCCAGGGAAGGTGTCAGCTGTTGATAAGAGTTTACAGTGATCTGTTGGAAATGCTTTTGGTGACGTGTGTGTCAAGTTTCTGACCCATATAGAAGCATTGACTGACTAACTGACTGACTTAACAGTTGTGTTGGAAATCCGGATCTTGTTGTTTATGTTTTCTGAGCGCAGACGATTTCCAGACCGATTTCCGAGTGATGGGGATGTACCTTGCTTTGCCTTTCGGATGCTGACTGGTTTTGACATCTTCATCCGTTGCGATTGTGTGTAGTTAGAAGGATGCCTCATGAAAGGATATGTGAAGGGAGTGTCGTCCTTCATATTTTTTGCGTTGATAGTGATTGGTGCTGGTTGTTGTTGGTTCGTTTTCTTCAACGCTTGCGTTTTCTCTATGTTTGTCTGAAGTCCTTTCTTTGCTATTTCTACAGGCGGTTTATTGGTTTTCGACTGTAAGTCTTCGAGTTTGTATGACATTAGACTTAAATCATCCATAACATTCATATCTTCGAGAGTCTTCTTATTATTTCGATTTTATTCCTTTGCATTCCAAGTGGAACATAGGGCTTCAGGCTTCAACAGTGAAGCTTTGGTAACAGTGGTTTTCATTTTTACGAGGCTAGCCTCATTCCCAACCTTTCACGTTTGCTGCTTTTATTACTAGTTAAACGAGGTAAAGTATGCACGTCGGCCAGGGATCGAACATCCGACCACGTGTATGGTTGGTGAGCATTCTACCTCAGTGCCACCGGCCGACAGAGTCGTTTTATTAGTCCTACTCATTAAAATTTGTCCGTTGATAGTGATTGGTGCTGGTTGTTGTTGTTGGTCGGTGTCGTCTTCTCTACGTTCATCAGAAGTCGCTGTCTTCCACAATGCATAAAGGTAAACCAACTATGTTACTTCGGTTGATGATGATGGTTGATAACGGTAGAGGCCAGAATGAAAATTTCGTCTAATTTGGGAAATGTCAGCTAAATGGAACATCATCCATTCTGATACATGAAAGACCTCCCTTGCTTAACTGTTTCTAACCACAATAAACTTTTGCGGGTATTTGATTGGTCCAATGACAGATTTTATCATAAGTCGATATTAGTGAGAGAATTATTGAAAAAAAAATGCCAGTGTCGTCGAGTAATCAGACATTCTCTAAGAGATGTGAATTCGTAACAAAATCTTCATCATCTTTCACCTTTCAATTAACGGCTATAAGTTGTAATTTTTCTGTTAGTTTGTAGCAAAGAATAAGACAAAGCCTCTGTAGTACTGTTGCATAAGGAGGGAATCTCAAAGGCCCTGCGTAGGATTCTTAATGAGGCTGGATTTAAGGTGGCAATAAAACCATCCAAACTCCCTCACAGATAAACTTTGTCGGCTTACTGACCCAATAGATTCAATTAAGAAAAAAAATAATAAAAATAAAAAAATAAAACAAATATCATGCCATGACTGTGAGGTCAGTTACATCATAGATTGAACTAATAGATCTGGGTCAATTAGATTATTTGAACATAAAAATTTAGCTAGATGTAAAATAATTGACCCTGGTAGGTTGAATAACCCTAACCATTGCATTGCATTCGCTTGCATGTAATCACACAGTAGGGTGTGTGGGACAGGGTGAAAGTATTAAAAAGTAGCACAGTTAGGTGGAGGGAGAGAGAGAGAGAAGTTAATCACTGAAGCTTTGTTTATGGATTTAACACTGAGCACGTGAAATAGAAATGATGCAGCTGTGACTATGTCGGAAATATGGGCAGGTGTCAACAAAAAACAAGGGGAATATCTCCTTGTGAAACCGTGTAACTAAAGTGATACGATTATGACCAATAAGTTGACAGGAAAGAACAGAAGATAACAACAACCAACTACATACACCAATCAACATCATCGAGGAGCAGTCTAAAGGAAGATGTCACTTTCACTAACACACTGACAGCAACGTTTCAAAGCCAAAATCACCAAAATAAGACAAATGTTTAATCAATCACTCTGAAATTGGTTTGAAGTTCTACAGCACTCAATACAGCACAAAGGCAAAGAGATTATTGTCAAATCAGCAAGCGCTTCTACCACATATACTTCAGAAAATTGACGTGCGCTTCACAAAAAAGCATTTTTAACAGTCTACTGGTTCCTATCATCAATAATATATCCATTAGCTGACGAGTCCCCCGAACAGGACGAGTTAAACAATGAATATTAGACGTAAAACGAAACAAAAAGCGAATTAAGTGAAAGCAAAATGAAAGTATTGGTGTGTCTGTCTGTCTATCTATCTACCTGTCTAGCTGTTTTTCCGTCTGTATATCTATCTACCTATTATTCGCATAACATGTGCGAACATACCACCAACAGCCAACACAAACATACACACACACACGCTGAATGATAGAAAGACAGACATCTACGCACTGATCCACCCACGCACACACAGGTATAAACAGAGACACACACAATATAGACACACAGTAAAATGCTTTTATAATTCATTTCAATCGTAGGTAGAAAAGTTAAATGCAGGTGCTAATGCAAAATGAGAAAGCAATTAAAATAGAAAGGAAAATAAATAAATAAATAATTATTATTATTTTGCTATTGAATACATCAGATAAGATGAGGAAATAAAAATTAAGATATATTTTTAGAAATTGTGTATTTATGGAGAGTAATCCACTTCAGAAAAAAACCACAAAACAACGATAAATAAATAAAATAAAGTAAAATAAATAAATAACATTTTATCTAAGTATGCGGCGGCAACATGAATGTTCGTCTCTTGTTAACCAGTCCTATTTTTGCTTGTTTTCACATTTTATTAAAACCCGCATAGAGAGGAAGGTAAAAGGGGAATAAAGGAGATAAAAAGGAGGTGGTTGGGTGGGGGGGGGAGGGAGGGATTTATTTTATTTATATGGCGAGAAAAACACGCACGCACGCACGCACACATACACACACACACAATCACAGAACAACACTCTTCCTTTGTGTGTTTCTTCTCTAAAGAGTGAATTATTGATTTTGATAATTGTAAAATTAGACAACAATTATAGATAAGCAAATAACTGATGATATATGGATACAGATGATATCTAAGCTCAATCACGCACACACACACACGCACACACGAATGGCGATAAGTAATAAGAGATAAACATATGTTGATTGACGAACAGAATATTGAAAATAGAGAAGGATAAAGAGGCATGGAGGTGGGGTGGTAAATTAAGAAAAACAATTTAAACAAAACGAGAATTAGTATTTTTATTTCTATAATGACTATATCTATAGGCAGAGATATGCACGGGATTGTCGTGTTCCTAATAAATTCATTTAAAAAAACAGACTTAAGTCTTTGAAGTTTCGGTAGCGTGTCTCGAGGTTGATATCCGCCTCACATCCAGTCCAAACTTTTTCTTTATGGGATTGATGACCAGGGTGCGTCAGCTGAGACTCGAGACTGAAGACCACATAAACTGCGGTCCAGGCAAACGAGAGCTTCATTCTACTCAGGATTTGTCAATTAGATGGATGCACATGCATAACCATTGAGTGATGGTCTTTCCACTGACTCATCGTTTCAAACGCCCAGATAATACTAACCACTACGTTATCGAGCCACGACGGCAACACAGTATGCAATAGGTATAATTTGAAAAACGAAACGCGCCTTTGTGATTCCAATGTCATCTACTACAAACACAAGTAACTTCCAGTTGATAACCATAGTAATAATAGAGGCATCTGTCCAAGAAGCCCATGTGTTGATCAATTCAGTGCACAAAATATCAACGGGTTATTATCAGTATGGAGAAATAATTAAACATATATACACATAGATATATACTACTCACCTTAGGAAGTAAATTAGTAGTATTGTAATCCTTATTTATTGTTTCATTCAATGTTATCTGATTTAATAAATTATTGTTTTGTTGATTATGTTGTAACTGTTGAATAGACCCAGTAGTAGTAGTTGTAGGCATCTGATTCATAGAAGTAATAGGATATAATAAGTTACCATGGTTATTATTATTACCAATGGATTTCATTTGAACAGATCGATTTAAACCCATAATTGGACGTGAAGTTGAATGGAGTTTTGATACTGTCGATGAAGCGTCGTCATTTAACATTCCCGGTATTTTTGTTGTTGTTGTATTTAGCATAGGTGTTGAATTCATTGGAGAGGATATAGGAGTTGTTGCATTTACTGTCGGTGAGGATTTTGTACACACGATATCACCTAATTGACTGTCATTTGTCATATTATTTTTGTTATTATTGTTATAATTGCTGTCTTGTTCAAGACAATTCAATTGTGTTTTCTGCATACTTGATAGAACTGTTTCATAATTGATTAACTGAAAAAAAAATTAATAAAGAAAACAAAACGAAATAATGGTTATAGTCATAGAGTGTGGCATGTACTACTGACGAGATTTATCAGTAGTATATAAAGAGACGTTCATCAGCACACAAAAATACCGAATAGCGGAGAGATCGATTTGACGTGAACGACAGCAAATGAACCAGTGTGGAGGCAAAATATGGGAGACACGAAAAGGAGACCAAAAGAACACAATACGAAGGATAGAAATAGCACAAAATGGAAGACTTGTGGAAGTGGTGATTTTCATCCAAAAGGTGTACATAATTTCCCTACATGCCTATGTTAAACTGGTAATAAACATTCCGTTACTAAGACTATTGTCTTCTCCCGTTACTATAGTAACAGTGTATTAAGAAATAAATAGATTACTATTACTTTTATTATGCGTTCAGCAGTACTGTCACCTTTACTGTCTTATTTTAACCACTTCCACGACTGAAAACAAGCTTTGATTCCGCCCCCATCCTACCCGTTATCCCAGATGACGTTTTTCATTTGACTCTTGAACAACCGACTTATCATCACACTGTTACTCAAGTTTATTAGTTATTCATTCATGCAGTCTTCTGCTTTAACCTGTGGATTGCTGAGCAGTACACCTGCCTGGCTATCGACCAAAGGACGTGTGGAGTGCACACCATCAGTTCGTTCCATCCTACTTTATGTCTGTCAGACTTGGCCATTGAGAGTGGAAGACATGAAAAGATTAGCTTTCTTCGATCATATGTGCCTGCGTTCTATCTCTCGTGTAAAGTGGTATAATAAGGTGAGAAATATTGAGGTTAGGCATCGGTCGAGTGCTAGGTAAGGAGGGGAAATCAATGGACGAGGATGTGAAATTACATCGACTGAGATGGTTAGGACACGTGTTATGTATGCCTAGTCATTGCCTTCCTCGACAATGGGAAATGTTAGCTGATATAGGGTCAGGCTGGAAAAGAGCAAGTGGTGGTCACACCAAAACATGGCTTCATCAGTCAATGAAATCCGCAACAATTAGTTTAACCCACGTAGGTAGGTGTGGTATGGCTCAAAATTGTTCTCATTGGCTGGCGCAGATGCATCCACTCCTTGTGAATTATGATTTCAAATAAAACTGTATTGTTCTCCGTTATTACTCTTCCTTTGTCTCGCACCTCTGTTTACTGTCTCTATTATGCATTTCTTCTACTTTCTTCTCTTGCTTTGTGTGCTACATGGAGGGAGTGTGGCGACTTGAACTGCTGCACTTCGGTGCAAAGTTCTATGTCGAAAACAGACAGACTCCTTTGACATAGTGTAAATTTGCTTATCTCTTAATTCTATGATTTGAGTTGAGCTCACTACATTGTTACTCAATTTATTAGTTACTAATCATCTTACTTATATTTTGTCTTTATTACATAACTCCTTTACCATTGTAAGCATACATTGATTTTTGTTCAAACTTCAACTCTCCTCAGGGTAAAAACTATATAAGTCTAATTTCGTGAGCACTTTTCGTTAAGTTTGGAATCTGCTGTTATTAACTGACAGCATGAAAAATTTGCAAGTATGTTAAAATTGTTCTGTATATAAACTTGATAATTTCTTCAGGCTGCACACAGCTGATGAGAAGCCAACGAAATAAGCAATGATGGTACCATCTGCACAAACTGTTGTTCTTGCTTTATTGAAGTTCATCACTGCTCATCTAGCTTCTACTAAAGAGCGAGACATGCGGTGCATCCTGAAAGTCTCCACATACTATATCCAATTCATTTCCATTCCCTTCTGACTATTTGTTGGGTAATAAGTCGCTGGATGGCAGAGTTCCTTAATTCTTATCCTTTCTGGTTGATCATCCGATCTTCAGCATGGAAGCAGTGAAGACAGCTGTCGATGAAGGTCTGCAGAAGCCTGTTGGAAATGCTTTTGATAAGGCGTGTGCCAAGTTTCTAAATCATATAGAAGGACTTATTGACTTGACAATAATCTTGAAAATTCAGACCTCTCTGCCTTTGTGTTCAGTTCTGTAGAACTCCAAACCGATTTCAGCGTAATGAACACTTGTCTTACTTTCCTGATCCTGGCTTTGAAACTTTGTTGCCAGTGTAAGTGAAAGAGACGATTTCCTAAAGATTCCTGCTGTTAATGTCAGTGAACATTGAAGAATGAGCAACATGTACTTTGTTTATTCGAAGTGGCCTTCATTTTGGCGGGAGACAATAGTGGTGGCCATGGCCTAATCTTACACTGTTTGGCAGAAGACTGGGAAAAAGATTATCGGAAGTACTATTGTGATTTATGCTGATGTTTATTCATAAACTTTGTGCTGTAGAGTAACCTTGAAGTCCTAGTTCGCTGTCGGTGAACAAATAAACAATGCTCGAGTCGTCAATGTGTCTTTTGTTGTTGATATTTTCAAGTCGGTTACTGCATATAGTATTCTGAGGCAGCGATTACTTTTCTGCCAGCAGTGCTAGGTACAGGATCTTTTCCAATTTGGACAGTTGACACCTGCCCCACTGATAGTGGTTAGTATTTGTTGTCGGTTGGGTACCTTTATCACTTTTTAGTTTTTGCTTGTAAATCTTCGAGTTCGAGTGACATGAGACATAAACCATCCGCGAAACAGAAAACACCCAGATATTACAGATGGATTTAGTTAGGGAACGACGTCGGTTAGTGAATGTCTGAAAACGCAACAAAATCGACATGCTTTTTACAGTGATTCTCTACTTGATATCGACTTATGATGAAATCTCTCATGGAACCAATTAAATACTCACAAGGGCTTATTTTGGTTGGGAACAGTTACGCAAGGAAGGCTTTCCGTGTATCAGGATATCAACAGGCTGATGATACTACCCGATTCCACATAGTGAATTAGGTAGGTAGGGGTTCGAACACCAAAATCGCTTAGCTATAGGTCGACTGTTTACGCCAATGAATCACATCTGTATACATAAAGGCAACACTAGAAAGTGGACATTATTGGTTAAAGACAAATTAACATGAATAAAATTTAGTATAAGCACCTCTCTACATTATTGATGAAGATTAACTAAGTTTCAACACAGAACTTTTCACAGACGTGGTAATAGTTCAAGTTGCAACACTCCATGTAACACACACACAAAAGTGGATAAAAGAAGTAAAAAGAGATTTAAAAGTGCTAAAGTAAACAAAAATGTGAGGGAGAAAGAATGGTAACATGGGAAAAACATGAGAATTCTTGGGATCTTGGAGGTTGTAAAGGTATTGAATGCATCGGAGCTATTGAGAACTATTTTGAGCTATATCATCAATTGTCTCCAGCCATTGGTTCTTAGAATCCTGGCTATCCAACCCAGACAATCTACACCTCACTACCTGACTGATTCATACCAATTGTCAAAGGCTTCATGAATTGATCCCACATTTTCATTTGACCGCCTTTAACTCTCCACTAACCTGATCCTAAGTTAGCTAACATTGTTCGAAGAGGAAGGAGGTGACTCAGTGTGCACAGAACGTGTCCTAAGAATCCTAATCAATGTAGCATCACTACCTTATGAACTAACTTGCTCTCCTTATCCAATTCTCTACGTCTAACATGAATTTTACTCATCAGATTGTATCACCTAAGATGGGAAATAGAATGTAAACGCCTTGCTGACTCTCCCCAGTCATCTAGCAAAAATAAGATTGTCCAGTTTTTGGAAATTATTCGGCTTAAAACAATCGTTTCTATTCTGTTACATGTTTTGATAAAAAAATATTGATTGATTTTTAAGATTTACTTACTAAGGATTAACTCTGAAGGTTTATTTCGATAGATTTTAATCGTATAACACCACCCTGCGTGGTTAAGTAAAAGAGAAACAAAATCCATTCGTAGCGCTATTCTATCTTATCTTGTGGATACAGAACACAAGATTGATGTTAATGAAGCGGCTTTCAAAGTCATTTACCGCAAACAACTAATCTTAACTTCACCTTAAGAGTTCATCTAATACTACATATTGCTGAGGCCGTTGAGATCTACATTAAGAAGCCTAATTTATGTGTCCAAAAGAAGCTAGTTCAGACATTGTCCTTACCCCGTTGGCCATCTAGGTTCGGATGATCCTCAATTTTTTGTAGAAATTTCCTTAATTTTAGTCGATATTCTATTTGCTATTATATTATTATTATTATAATTTATGCATCTTTAATGAACTGTAATTCCACTGATCTTACTTAACAAATCGATATTATTTAAAAAACACTAATATTGTAATTGACTACTATTCTAGAACATTCCATGTATATAAGCATATATATAATTGTAGAGCCAGAAGAGGAAATTATCAAAAAGGATATTCTTTGCTCAGTTATTTTGTTTTTTATAGATGTCTAATGGATATTTTCATGCGTCGGTGGCACAGCGGTAGAATGTTCGCCAACCACACATGTGGTCCGGGGTTCGATCACCGGCCAACGCACTCCTTTACTTCGCTAAGCTAGTAATAAAACTGGTAAAGAGGGAAGGTTGGGCATGAGGTTAGCAACTCCATCCCGTAAAATAAGCACCACTGCTACAGGAACTTCAAGCCTCTAGCTTGAAGCCCTATGTTCCACTGGCAACGTGAAGGAATAAATAAAAATGAATATTTTCGCTACAAAGTTAGTTGACAAGGTTATGAAGCTGTATCGAATGAAATGAATAGAACGTTTGTTACGTCTTCGCTGACAAGCAGTGTTGGCTGATATAGGATTAGGTTGGAAAAATAGTTAGGCGTAGTCAATATAAAACATAACATCAATCCATGAACTCTTTGACTCTAGGAAGGTATAGACTGTCTGATTGGAGTACTCAGGATACCAAGAACCACTGATTAGAGAGAATTGGTGAAATGCCTCAGAATGCATCTTTTCTTTATCGTCTTTTAGATCTATCGGATTCTCTTTTCATCTGAATTTAATTAGTTTTTATATCCCCCCACCCGCCGATTTCAGTTTACTATAGCTGCTATGAATTTCTTCTAACCTCTTTTTATACTTTTGTGTATTTTGGTAATTTGAACTGTTGCACTTTAGTGCTGACAATTCATTTCAACTCGCTTCAGTAACGTAAATAAATAAATATTTTTACGAGTTTGACCACGGATTAATATCAGTTAGAGAACCATTGAAAACCAGCACTGGAAAGCTGTTTCACCTCAGTTTGGAAATCATCAGCAGTACGCACCCACTGGGGTTGGAACCCAGGATCTTCCGGTTACAAAGCAAGCTAGCTCATATACCATTCAGCCACTTGAACCCGATTCAATGGCCAGCCCATGAATTCTAATTTCTACCAATTCGTGATTTAGCGCGACCACTAGCCATTGTCATCGGTGGGAACTCCATCCTCACTCGCGACTGGATAGACCTCACTGGTAACGACTTCTTACTAGAAATCTAGGAAACTCCGTACTGTAACAAGTCACTAGAAAGCGTCAGATTAATTTTCAACAGTTGAATCGGGTCCCAGTGGCTGAGTGGTATACGAATTCGCCTTGCAACCATAAGGTCCTGGACTCGAACGTAGGTGGGTGGGTACTGCTGAGGAGTCCCAAACCAGGACGAGACAGCTATCCAGTACTACAGTGCTGGTTTTTAATGGTTCTCTAACTGATATCAATCCTTAGTCAAACTCGTATAAATATATCTAATCCTTATAAACCAAGCTCTGAAAAATAAATATTTTCATTAGCACGTGTGTATGTGTGCGGGGAGAATCATTTCATTTACAAAACCATCTCACAAAAATGAATCCATCATGAATAGTGAATTAGTAAAGTATGATTCATTCAACATCAACCTACTGTCTCTGTCTCTCTCTTTCTCCTCCTTAGAATTCACTATGTGCTAGGGATTATCATGAGAAGCCCAATGTAAGCAACTTGGGTGATTATGAAGTGAATGACTGTAATACAACACTTATTCACTCATTCATATGACAGTTGGGTATAACCCCACGTTTGACTGCAGTGAAATAAATAATCTGGACAGTAGCTGCATCTGAAAGCCCAGTTTGTAGGTCAAAGGACTAGTAATTCCAAGGTTAATTGGTTGGAATCCTCCGCCCAAAACACAGATTTATTTTCTATTCCATCTGAAATCACTCCATATATTTAATCAATTATTCACAATAAACCTTCATTTTGAATAAAGTAAGAGCAACAGAGGTTTGTGCAGAATAAAATGCTGTCATCATTCATTGCGTTGGTTTCTCATCAGCTGCGTACAGCCTAAATATGTCATCACTATGTTTTTTGTACAGAAACAATGTTGACATAATTACCCAGAGAGTTCAAGTTTCAGCAAAAAAAATCAATATATACATACAATGGTAATAATAATAATCACTTTATTCCAAACAATAACAATAATAATACAGAATGAAATTTTCAGCGTTACGTAATCAACTCAATTTCAAAGGTGATAATGTGGTGAGAGCTGTCTACTAGCCAAATTGGTAGACAGTAATTTACGTCAATATTTACGTTCCCAAGATTTGTCGTGAGAAAATGTGAACAAAGATTGATTCAAAACCGACCACAGCAGACTTTGCGTAGGCGGATGCAGTTAACATATAGAGGATTTGACATTCAAGAAACAGTCACAAATAGATGAAAGATTAAATTTACGTGAGAAACAACCAATCGGAAGACTGTGTTTGTTTACTTAAATATCCATAGTAATGTACATGAGAATATATAAATATGCGTTGATTTCCTTAATAAATGATCTGTTGCCTGACTCTTGCCTTCTGTCGTTACAATAATACTGCAGGAATAGTCAACAGAAGGTTGATACGTCAGGCACCTGTGGAAGGAGTTACTTTAGGAGAAACAGGAAGAAAGGTACACCTCCGATTTTCTGAATATGTACCGAAAAATCCACATCTCAAAGGGGATAAACACTTTCAACAGTGGCCCTGCAAGGCATTTCCTTAATACGAGTCATGAGGTGGACATCGTAAGATCCTTCAGAATTATCAATAGACAAAATAGCTCAGTTCTCTTCAAGTTTGCCTAAGCAATCTCTATGTGTTGAGAAAGTAGCAATTAAACAGTCTTTCCTTAACATCCTGGTAAATAGGCGTCTTTATTGTCTTTTTTATTTGATTACGTAACGCTTAAAATTCCATTCTCTATGATTATTATTATTTTTTTCCTTCACGTTTCCCAGTGGAACATAGGGCTTCAAGCTAGGGGCTTGAAGTTTCTGTAGCAGTGTTTATTTTTACAGGATGGGGTCGCTAGCCTCATGCCCAACCTTTCCTCTTTACCAGCTTTTACTACTGGCTTGGCGAGGTAAAGGAGTGTGTCGGCCGGGGATCGAATCCCAGACCATGTGCATGGTCGGCGAGCGTCCTAACTGCTGTGCCACCGACGCACGTATGAATTATTATAATTATTATTATTACCATGATATGCATATATTGATATTTTTGCTGGAACTTGAACTCTCTGGGTAAGCATGTTAAAATTGTTTCTCGGGATGATAAAAGCCAATGGTTGGAGACAACAATCGGTAATATGGCTGAAAATCATCGTTCTCAGTGGTCGGCAGAAATGCATCCGCTCTTTATCATTTGTTAAATCATCCAATAAAATTATATTGTTCTTCCATATTATTATTATTATTTTTCTCTCACTAACACTTCTGTTTATTGCCTCTCTTTACTCTCTTCCCTTGATTTGTGTGCTATATGGTGAGAGTGTGACAACTGGAACTGGCATGCGATTTGCCCCTGTAAAATGTAAGATGATGTTGCAGGATTGAACTTCACCGACCCCTAGATTAGAAATAGGAAGTGAAGTGATAGAGCACGTTGACCGCTTCACTTACTTGGGAAGTACCATCAACCCCAACGGGTTGATCTCCGACGAAAACTCAGCACGAATAAAGAGCGCATATGCCAGTTTACACCGTCTCTGGCGTAGACGTGATATCCGGCTGGCTGTCGACCAAATGGCGTGTGTACTGCTCATCAGTCCGCTCCGTCCTCCTTTATGGCTGTGAGACCTGGCCATTGAGAGTGGAAGACATGAAATGATTATCTGTGTTCGATCATATATGTCTGCATTCTATCTCCCGCGTGAAGTGGTATAATAAGGTGAGCAATATTGAGGTTAGGCGTCGAGTGCTAGGTAAGGCGGGGAAATCAGTCGACGAGGCTGTGAAATTACATCGACTGAGATGGTTAGGACATGTGTTACGTATGCCTAGTCATCCACTGCCTCCTCGACGAGCAATGTTAGCTGACATAGGGTAAGGCTGGAAAAGAGCTAGCGGCGGTCAAACAAAAACATGGCTTCATCAGTCAATGAAATCCACAACAGTTAGTCTAGGCCACGTAGGAAGGTGTAGACTTCGTGGTTGGGGTCCTCGGGACGGTAAAAACCAATGGTTGGAAACAATTGGTGACATGGCTCAAAGTGATCGTTCTCAATGGTTGGTGCAGATGCATCCACTCCTTGTGACTTATGATTTCCAATTAAACTGTTTTGTTCTTCGTTATTACTATTCCTTTGTCTCACACCTCTGTTTACTGTCTCTAATATGCATTTCTTCTACTTTCTTCTCTTGCTTTGTGTGCTATATGGAGGGAGTGTGGCAATTTGAACTGCCGCACATATGTGCAAAGTTCTATGTCGAAAACCGACCAACCGCCTGGAACTGCTGCACATTTTTGTAAAGTTCTACGTTGAAACCAGTCAGTCAGTAAGTCAGTTCTGCACATAAACTTAGTAATAATAATAATAATCCCTTTAGGCTGTAAGCAGTTGACTAATAAGAAATCAAGGCGATAAGCAATGATAGTCGCATTTTATTCTGCAAAAACCGCTGTTGTTCTTTTTTTTAAACACATTAATCAAGGGGAGTAAGTGTATGAAGTTTCTGAGAACAAACCTTCATTTCTTGTTTCTGACTAAAAAAAGAAAAGAAAGAAGCGTCTAAATTAAAATAAGACAGTTTTGCTTTGCTTCCTTATCATTAATTAATTAATTAATTAATGAAATAATCCAGGGGATGTGATAGAATGGAATGATGTGAAAGAAAGAGGCGAGAAAAGTCAATCTAGGCAATAATAAACAAAAGAGACAGAAAAAGAACTGAAAACACAACTACGCTGTTTTAGAAAGTCAAATTAAAAAGCATACCCCTTTCTCCCACAAAAAATTTAAAAACAAAAACAAAATCAACTTTGTTTTAGAGTTGATTGAAGGAAAGGAGAAGAGAACAATAGGAAAAGGATGTAATTTTATTTATTTTGTTGCCTATAGCAACTGTGTAGCACTACTCACAAAAAAAATGGAACCAAAATGGCTAAAGAATTTTTATTAAGCAAATTATTATTACCTTATGATTGATATTTTCAACTAGAAGAGACATAGTAAGAACTAAGGTGAATAGGGAGGCTGTTATTGGAAAAGAAAAACTCCGAAACTCCCAAGTACTGTGTGTGTGTGTGTCGACAGTCCTCGATGGAATCAAGTTTCTATGTACGAAGTTATAAGACAGAGACTTATTATACAACGGCTGAAAGATACTACTGCTCAGTCAGCCAGACTAAAGAAAGTGGAACAGGAATCAAATCTGGAACTCCTTAAGGTGTGATCATCTTTCTGTCCTTAATACCTTTCCAACCTACTCTCATGTTAGCCAACTTTGATCGTCGGTCGGTTTTCGACATAGAACTTTGCACATATGTGCGGCAGTTCAAGTCGCCACACTCCATGTAGCACACAAAGCAAGAGAAGAAAGTAGAAGAAATGCATAATATGTACAGTAAACAGAGGTGTGAGACAAAGGACTAGTAATAATGGAGAACAAAACAGTTTCATTGGAAATCATAAGTCACAAGGAGTGGATGCATCTGCGCCACCCATTGAGAACGATTTTGAGCCATGTCACCAGTTGTTTCCAACCATTGGTTTTTACCGTCCCGAGGACCCCAACCAGGAAGTCTACACCTTCCTACGTGGCTTAAGCTAGCTGTTGTGGATTTCATTGACTGGTGCCATGTTTTGGTTTGACTACCGCTAGCTCTTTACCAGCCTGGCCCTATGCCAGTCAGCTAACATGGCCCGTCGAGGAAGGCGATGACTAGGCATATGTAGCACATGTCCTAGCCATCTCAGTCGATGTAATTTCACAGCCTCGTCGACTGATTTTCCCACCTTACCTAGCACTCGACCTATACCTAACCTCAATATTGCTCACCTTATTATGCCACTTCACACGGAAGATAGAACGCAGACACCTATGATCGAAGACAGCTAATCTTTTCATGTCTTCTGCTCTCAATGGCCAGGTCTCACAGCCATAAAGGAGGACGGAGCGGACTGATGAGCGGTACACACGTCCTTTGATCGATAGTCGGATATCGCGTCCACGTCAGAGACGGTGTAAACTGGCATATACGAAACTAGCCCTCTGTATTCGTGCTGAGATTTCGTCAGAGATCAACCCGTTGGCACTGGCTGATAGTACTTCCCAAGTAAGTGAAGCGGTCAACGTGCTCTATCACTTCACTTCCTATTTCTAATCTAGGGGTCGGTGAAGTCCAATCCTGCAGCATCATCTTACACTTTACAGGGGCGAATCGCATGCCAAATATACGAAGATTGTTGCTCAAGGTGCTCAGTAGACTCTGCATTTTGTCAGCGTCCTCGCCTAGAGGGACTATATCGTCCGCATATTCTACGTCGACGAGATTATTCCCTGGTAGCAAGTCAATCCCTGAGTCGCTGAAGTGTGTTATTGTTAAGTCCATTAGTACGTCTATGATGAAGTTGAATAGGAATGGGGATAATGATCGTCGAGAAAGCTCTAAAGACCTGATACGAGAGATATCAACTAACTACGTGTCCCTGGGTGGATTTACACAATCTGACTACCTTATTTGACGATAGGTGTCCGCCTTCTATCTCCCATGTTACGCAGTGGGTGTAATAGGGTGAGTAATATTAAGGTTAAGCGTTGAGTGCTCGGTAAGGACGAGAAATCAATCGATGAGGTTGTGGAGTTACATCGATTGAGATGGTTAGGATATGTGCTATCCATGCCTAGCTATCTCCTTCCTCGACGGGCAATGTTATTGTTGATCAAACTAAAAAATGGCTTCATCAGTCATCCAAATCCATAACAGTTAAAGTCAGCTAGCCAAGTGGGAAGATGTGGACTCCTGGCTGGTTGGAGTCCTTGGGTCTCTAAGAGCCATTAACTGGAAACAATCGGTGGTATAGCTTAAAATTGTTGTCAGTGGCTGGCACAAATGCATTCACTCTTTGTCGCTTGTCATATCATCCAATAAAACTTGTTTATTCTTCCATATTACTGGAATTCTTTTTCCTTCACTCACACTTGTGTTTATTCTCTCTTTCTCTTTCGAATCTTTGTTTACACTCTTATCTTAATTTGTGTGCTACATGGAGGGAGAGGAGAAAGTCGAACTGGCACACATCTGTGTAAAGTTCTCTGTTGAAACCAGTCAGTCAGTCAGTCAAATTACCTTACGAATAGCTGATTAATTCATGGAATAAAAATAAACGAAGAAAATTCGGTGGAAAGTCAACTGTTCAAACTTATTTAATTGTATATATGTATAAATGCGCGGAAATTTATGTCGATATTTTATTATACTGCCCAGTTCCACCAGCGTATCTACCTGCCGCTTACCAATCAACCTACATGAAAGAAAACGCAACAAAGACGCGTTCAAGTGTGTGTGCGTGTATGTGTGCCCGCATGTTTTGATATTTAAGAAGTAGAAGTTTCTCGACTGTTGTTTGTGAAATCGGGTCATTGGACCTACCACATTTTTGTGAAAAATTGATATACATATATATATATATATATGTAACAGATAGGTGGATGAAGAACACTGTACAGTGACGCACTAATTCAAATCGTTAGAATTCGAAAAAAGAATTAAACTATAAAGAATATGGTTTACTTGACTCAAGATAAGTTAATGTTGCGAATTTCAAAGGTGATAAACAGTGATTTATTAATCTGAAATATTTCGAGCTTATGTTAAATAGACTTCAATCACCATCAACGGAAGGGATTTGAAAGAGGTTACTTCATTGACTTATCTAGGGAGCATTGTCTCAACTACAGGAGGAACGCACGAGGATGTCAAATCGAGAATCGGAAAGGCGAGAAACACATTCATCAACCTGAAACCAATCTGGAAGTCTTCGTCACTCAGCATCAACAACAAAATTCGGATTTTCAATACAAACGTCAAGTCAGTCAGTTCTTCTATACGGATCAGAAACTTGGCGGGTCACAAAGAAATTTATTTCCAACAGCCTGTTGCAGACCTTTATCAACAACTGTCTTCGCTCTATACTGAAGATCAGATGGCCGGAAAGAATCACCAACAAGAAACTATGGGAACAAACAAAACAAGAACCAGTCTCCCAACAAATATGCAGGAGAAAGTGGAGATGGATTGGACACTCGCTGTGGAGGCCGCTGGGTGACATCGCGCGTCAGGCCATAGCTCGAGTGGAACCCGAAAGGGAAGCGGCGAGTGGGACGTCGGTGCAAGGGTGACATGGAGGAGATCGTGTGATGAGGAACTGAAACAGTATGGATTAACATGGATGCAAGTGAAAAGTACAGCACAAGACAGAAGCAAGTGGAGGCGTGCAGTTGAAGCCTTATGTTCCACTAGGAACCCAAGGGAACAATAAATAAAATAAATAATAATCTACTGCACTCATTCTCACATAATCTATATCGTCAAGTGTTGCGGTTTACAGAGATTTGATTGATTACAACAGGATTGATCACAAGCTGACATCAATTGGAAAACCATAGGAAGACTTAGGAGTACAGGAGAGCAGTTTCGTCCGACCAGTTTGGAACTCTTCAGCAGAACACACTCGCCTAGGTTCGAACCTAAGACCTCCCGCTTACGAGGCGAGCTCATAGACCGTTCAGCCAGTTGATAAATTCCTCCTTCTTGCTTTGAACCTCGGTGGGTGTGGCGTACTAATGAAGAGTTCAGAAGTAAGTGATACTTATTCAAATAACCCCTAAAGATAAGAAATCATTTTAGCTTTCTGGAGACATGATAAAAACTCAACAACAAAAACAAAATTTTAGATTTATGTTTTATAGGAAGAAGGTGAAATTCTCATGAATCTTATCTTCAAGATAATATTACTGTTTTCTCATTTAAGTAATATGTAATAACTAAATACGTAAGAAATTGGAATAATATTCATTTTACATGAATTTAGAGGACGAACGACAGAGAAAGAAACGCAGAATACACACGCACACGCACACAAAGGAAGTGAGAAAAAGTGCATTCTTTCTGACAATCTTTTGTATACACTTTCCTGAAGAAGTAAGACTAACTTGAATCCGAAACAAACTTACACACATACATAGACAGACATTTTTTCCTCTGTTAAACTATTTATAACGATAATAACGAGGCAACTAACTACATGTGACATAATATTGACCAAAATGAATTAGCAAAAAGGAAAAAAAACACACCAAACAAGTGTAGCTAAGATGACATTTTAGTAGTTAAGGTGACATTCAATGTCATATTGGGAAAAGTAAAAATAATAATAACAGTAACACTAATAGTAGAGAAATATTCAAAATGAGACATATACTACTACTAATAATAATAATGATGATTTACCAGAATCTTTTGTGACATTTATGATTTAGAAAGTGATAATTTGAAAGATAAAATCTTATGAATAAACGGGGATGAGGTGATGTTTCCCTCTTTCTCCTTGGATCTGTGTGTGTGTGTGCGCGTGTGTCGAGGGAAAGAGAGGCAAAAGGAAGGTAGGAAGGTAAGAAGTTAGTCGCTCAGAGATATAATTTGTAACAGGTGATTTCAAGTCATTTATCTGATAAATGTGCGTTAACTATGACAAAAAACAAAACGAGACAATCTTACAGGTTAGTTAAATGGGTAGTGCAATTGAAATAATCATTCAAACATCTCCTATTTGGCTGGAAAGCGCTCCACTTCTCAGCTAACTGAAAGTGGTGTGCCTCAAGGTGCAGTACTTTCTCCATTTCTTACC